AGACACAACAAAACTATGAAAAGCTGACATTTGAAAAGATCCGGTTGATCTTTGCATTTCTGGGCAGCATGGCCACCAGCTTCCTGGGACCAGCTTCCTTCCTGGCATGCCCCACAGTGTCAGACACGGCCATGGACATCAGCTCCAAGATCACCGCTAAGGACCTGAAGAAGGAGTGTGGTGGGCAGAGAATGGAAGAGATGCACCTGCCCATGGAGTGCTAGCGAGAAAAGTGGGGAACAGGAGGCTGACCGTGAAGTCCAGGAAGAAGAGGAAGAAGGTGGGGAGGGAGGAAGAGGAGGGAGATGAGGAGACTGAGGCAGCTGAAGATGATGAGGATGGGGGTGTTGGCCCCAAGAAGCAGAAGACCAGTGAGGATGGCTGCACAGCAAAAAGGAAAAGTTAAACTCAGAAAGGCCACCATGATCTATTCACCCTCCACTTCCTGTCTCAGAATCTAAACACAGTCACCTTCAAGAGGTAGGCCTCCCCCCGGCACACAGCGCCACTTGGAGATGACAGGTGCACACCACCACCCCACCAAAACCACCACACGAATTTGCAACGGTGGAGGAAAAAAGAACCAAAGCTTCGAAGGCCCTGATTTTCTCTTAAAAGTGCTTTGAAGCTGGGCATGGTGGTGCTCGCCTTTAATCCCAGCACTTGGGAGGCAGAGGCAGGCGGATCTCTGTGAGTTCAAGGCCAGCCTGGTCTACATAGTGAGTTCCAGGACAGCTGGGGCTACAGGGAGACCCTGCTTCAAAAAGACAACCCCCCCAAAGTTATTTAGACAATTATTTCTCATTGATGATTTTGTTCCTAACCAGAACATGCTGCTCAGATGTAAGACTTCAAATCACGGTCTGCAATACTGTAGTGCCCACCTGTAGCTAAGGGAGACAACCCACTCTTGTTCTAAAATGATGGCCAAATTTGTTTTCTCCCCCTATCTAGAAGCCCTTGAGGGGGAACTGACACTGATTCTAACCACTCCAACAGCTACCAAAATTTCTGAAAGCAAATCCTGAATCCATCACTCTCGAGTCCAGCCTT